CAATTCTAGACCCCATTATCAGATAAGAGTGTTGTAACCTCAAGTCACATTCCCCAGGTGGCTCAAAGGGGAGCCGACCTTGAAGGGTCACGCAAGTGGTCCTAAAAGGCAACCTCTACAGTCTCTCTCCTTGGTTTGAATATTCTCTTTGGAAAACAAAATGTGTATGACATAAAAGCTACTCCATGAAATTTGGTTAGAAACTTGGGGGGGGTGGGGGCACACAAAACAGGGTGAAGTGGAAGACACTTCTACCACATCTTACAGCCAAGTCAAAGTCGTAAAGGAAAATTCAGAAGAGCGAGCCTCAAGAGAATATTCAGTGTGTTCCCAGAGGTGATTATACCCTTGGGTAGTTTATGAAATAAAGTGAAACTCTTCAGACCAGCAGTAGTACCTTCTATAATACCACTGACTACATTTACACAAAATTTTACAACTTTCAAAGTCCTTTTCCATACATTATCCTCTTTGATCTTCATATCAATCCATGAGGAAAGGTCAAGAATGATTAGTCCCACTTTAAAGATTAAAAAGAAAGATCAAAAAGACAGCGAAATAGTGGCAAGATTACCAGATTTGGAGTCACAAGTCCTGCCATTTTCTACCACATAACTTTGGGAAAATCATTTTACCTAACGTCATCTAGGCTTCTGCATATGTAAGATAAGGATAATTAATTAACGCTTGCTCTACCAAGCTAACTGAATACCAATATGAAACCTGTGTGAAATCATTGTAAAATGCTAAAGGAATATTAATATTGACTTGACCAACATCAGAAAGTTAAAATAAATAATAGAGCCAGAACCAGATTAAGGGTCTTCTGACCTCTAAAAGCTGGTGCTCTTTCTACTATTACCCCCTACAGTAGAAAAGCAAGTTTTCATTAAGGCAGTTCCAGCCATAGGGTCAAGAGAAATCTTTAAAAAACAAAAGAAAGAAAGAAATTAACATATGCTGATCCCTATTATGTTTTTCTGTATTTTTCAGCATTTCTACAACAAACATGAACTATATCCATAATCAGGAGAAAAAAACAGAAATGTTGACTAAACAGCTGGATTAATTTTATCTTTCCTATTCTTTAGGAGAGTAAGGCTGCAGTCACATCAATGGGGGGGGGAAGGGAGAGAAGGGAAGAAAGAGGGTACTAAGCCATGTTTCCACAACAAGATGATTAACGGAAGAAGGAAACCCTCAATCCAAATTACAGGCTGCATTTCTCAAGGATTCAACCATTCTGCCCCCACTGGAGGAAAACGGCAGACAATCTAAACGTCAACATACTCTCGAAGCCAGGACAAAAAATATTAGACAAAGAAGACTTAAAAAAAAAAAAAAACCAAAAAGAGTAAATCTAATAATTACAGAAATAAGTGTTTGCAGAAGCCATAAGAAATGTGGCTACGCAACTTACATAATCTCTCTTGAACTGAATTGTTAAACTACACATTTAACCAAAAAATAAACTAGAAATAAATATCAATAAGTCACTTAAAAAGCCCATTTGCCATTAACCTTTAACCTTGAAACCTGTCTGTGTCTCCGGCACAGTCAGCTCTTCTGGATTACACATCCACAGGTTAACTATTGCTAGAACAGAGTCTCAAGTTCAGAGAGGTGGTTGTTAGCGTTTGGCCAATGAAAGGCTGATGAGGTGGGCAATGCAACCTGGGCTGGCACGGGGTAGCAATTCCACACTTAATAAGCAAACAAAAATACCCCAGCCTACTTATTACCACGGCTCCCGCAAGAAGGTCCGAGAGAAAAACAACCGCCCGACGACGCCTTTCCGGAGCGGACTTTGAGAATGACGCCCACAAGGCTCAGGACCAAGCAGAGCCAAGGCCACCTCACCTGTCCGGAGGTAACCAATCAGACTAGCGGGGCTGCCCCGTGGGGCTGGGAAGCCAGGCCAAGCCCCGGTCTCCTCTCACCTCTCGCCTCTGCTGTTGGCTTACAAGTAACCAGCAGCCTCGCGTGTCACAGAGCAGTGTGACATCACCCGCCCCGCCGTGACAGGGCAGCCCGCCCGACCAGGCCCTTCTCGAGGCCCCCGCCGCTCGCCCAGAGGCGGCCCGGCCAGAGGCCCCGCAGCACAGCAGCGATCGCTCGGGTGGGGCGGGGGTGACCACAAACCCAAGAGCTTTCGCTTCCGTTCACCTCGGAAGGAAGGGGCGGGGGACGTTCCCTGAATCCGAGGGGTCGAGGCGGGGCCAACGGGCCCCCGCGTCTAGACTTGGCGGAGGAGGAGGACGAGGGAGGGAAAGGAGACTAAGACAGGGCCTTTGCTGGCGCCCCCCGCCTCGACGCCCCCAAAGACCCGGCGGACTCGCCCCCACCCCTCCCCCCGCTCCGGGGCGGTTGCGCATGCGCGATACTAGTTCCCTAGCTTCTCCCCTCCCCGCCCAGCTTCCCGGAGTCCAGTCGCCGACCAGGGCCCCGTTCCCCCAGGACGCAGTCTGTCCGAAAGTGGAGACTACTCCCACTCTTGCTCAGACAATAACTCCTAACTCCCTTTCCACTTCTCACTCCCGGCTTGCGCAGTCCCAGCTTCAGACGTACCTTCCTACCAGCGTCTCAGGAGCCTACACGGCTCTTCTCACACCGGATGTGCTTCTGGCTCTCCCAGGGTCCGCTCCAGACGCTTTACCCTGCGCCCGCCCCTCGAGGGAAGCCCCGCCCTCGCGCTTTTTAAAGCCAGTCTTCATTGGCCGTTGGCCGCACTTCTGCCTTTCTATTGGCTGTACAGGCATAAACATCGCCTGCCTACTTCAGAGCCATTCGCTAGTGCCCTTGTCGGTCTACACTCTGTCGCCAACGGGCGTCGAAGGAAAAGGTCTCGGCCTTCTTCCTCCCTAGTAAAGAAGCGTTGCTGTCCACAGCCGCCTCTAGTGGAGAAAGTGAAGAGGGGCAGGTCCCACTCAAGACACCTAGCGAGTAATACAGCCCCCACGACGCGTGATGGAAGAGCGCTGCCAAGTCCTGGGATTCTAGTTTCAGGCTTGTCATTGGATGTTAAAGGGGGAAAGAAAGAGGTTCAGAGAACACATAGAAAAGCGCTCTCACTGGATCCCATTTACCGTAAATCTCGCGGAGCTTAAGCTTCAGAGCACGTTTGAAGGCTCAGCGAATTCTCCAGGAACACAAGGAGGAAATAGCAGCCCCAGTCCTGCATCGTATGCACCGACCCCAGCCTGGAGGTCACCCTCTAAGCCCAAGTGGTAGTCCTAGGGCCATGGGCAGGGCCAGAGAGCTGCCAGGACCACCTTCCCCATGCGAGAGGTGGGCAGCTCTTTATAGTCACCTTGGTCCTTCCAGTTGGGAGAGGAATGGAGTGGGTGGGAGGGGAGACCAGGGCGGCGATGTGGCGGAGCTGCCCTGGCAGCCCCGAAGAAACTAAGCCAAGGGAGATCAAAGGGCTGGAGCTCCCTGAGGGCTGGTCCCCAGCCAGAAGCACCACTTGTGCAAGAACTTATTGTAAGGACTTGCGAAACTGATAAAAAAAAAAAAGTTTCTAAATTATCAATTTTTAAAACTATTTTTTTACTAATTTATCTTTCTAATATTTCTATAAAAATAGTACAAAATGGTCATATGAAGAGACAAAAAGTATGCAGCCAAAAAACAGGAAAAAAAGCATATCATGGTTGCCAGGGAGTTATTATTTTTCTGATGTTTGTCATTTTGTCAGCATTTCAAAATCTGTAGTGATTTCTTATTCTAAATAAATATTTATTTTATTACATAATTTTATATCCTTTTTCTTAAATATAGCCCCACAATTGTAGATGTTTCAGGCTGCACAAAACTTAGATTCCACCTGCCTCACCCCACTCCCGCCCCTCATTTTAGAGATGAGGAAAAAGGCCCATGGACAGAAACTGCTCTGGCAAAATAAGGGAAGAAAATTAGATTAAGCATTTGATCAGTGGAGATTTGATCAGAATCCAGGATTTAGGAAATCACTTTTTAGAAGGATAAACAGCTATCTTTTCAATAAAGAATTCAAATGTGTAGGGTATGATTCTCGGTACATGAACTCAGGTATGCAATAAATATAGGGTTTTTTTTTTTCTGTGGTGCAACCTAATATTTACTCTGAACCTCATTCCTCCAGAGTGGGAGAAAATGCATTGTCAGTCTTCCTTGGGGGTCCACTCCCCTCCCCGCTCTAAATTCTGTCACATTTCTGGGGCTACAAGTGCTTGGGGACAGGGCCTATCTGGTTCCACAGGGTTACTGCAGAGGTTTTTACCTTTGTACTAGTGTGGCCCTTTCAGGCTCAGCAGCTCTATTGCCGTGCCATACTTAAGGAACAAGAGACCTTTTGTCAAGTTAATATTGCATTCTCCACCTGGAGCAATAGGTTGCCAAGAGTTTTACCTGCATAATGTTGACATATGTTATTCATTCTTGATGACCTAGATTATTCATTCTATTTCTGGCTCAGGGTCTCTCATGAGATTGCAGTCACATGTCAGCAGGGGCTTCAGTCATCCAGAGGTTTGACTGGGGCTAGAGGAATTACTTCTAAGGTGGCTCACTCATATAGAGGACAAATTAGTGCTGGCTGTCGAAGCCTTACGTCTTCGCTGTGTGGACTCCTCCATGCAGCTATTTGAACGTCCTTGCAGCATGAGGACTGGCTTCTCCCAGAGGGAGCAATCCCAGTGATAGAGAGAGCTAGACAAAGGCTCTTTTTATGACTTATCCTCGTAAGTCACATAGCAATCACTTCCTTATAATAACATGCTTATTCCCAGGCCCCTGTCTTGGGTCCTGTGCCCCAGAGGGTCCCATGCTTTGAAGGGCCTTCCCAGAAATTTTCTATCTTCCTCATTGCCTAGGACTAGCCAGGTCCAGTAGAGCCATTAAGGCTCAGTCCAAACCAGGCCCTTCATGATCCCTGGTCCCAGTTTCTCCCCTTCATGACATTCTCCAATCCCAGGATACCTGAGGACCTCTGGAACACGTGCCTCTGGGGTCATTCCAATGCTCTATGACCTCATTTCAATTCCAAGAAGGCATGCTTGTGAGCTGATCACTCTTGCTAGCCAGCACAATATTTCTTCTGTGGAAATGCATGAGATTGGGTCTCCAGGATGGTGGTGACATGCCTAATTGGGGTCAGACTGAAGATGAGTTCAGGCCTCTGGGCTACCAACCATTCTCCACCAACCCTTAGGCTTGAGTTGTGTGTATGGGTCCCTGTGTTGATCCTCTCCCATCAGTATTCTGATGTGGAGCTGCCTGTGGTCCATAGCACCAGAGGACAACAGAGTGGCAGTAGGTATCTTTTATCCTGTACATCATCACACACACCCCCCCCCCACACACACACACACTGGCACTCAGGGTCATTCTATCCCCTCCAAAGACTCTGGGACATATGTCAGGCAGTCATTTCTGGGTGCTTTTGAGACTTGCTCCACAGTGCCAACAGGACCTTTCCAACTGATGTCCTTTTTTGCCTCTGAATGATATGGTAATACAATACTGTCTCTCATGTCAGTCTTAAGTCATACCAAATGAGGCATGCACAAATGGCACCACTCCTCTTGCTCCACTCGTGGACCCCTCACATATATTCCCTGTTGTGGTGGTGTATGGAAGGTAGGGGTGTGATCAACGTTGAAAGAGATCACAGTCTGGGAATGCTGTGATCATAGTTTAAAGAGTACAAGACAAGACATGGTGGGAAGAGGTGTTGTTCTATGTTTATCGCATAAAATTCTGAATGAAAATTTAACATGACCATAAAACTAATTATTGTTTAAATTTTCTTGCATACTCTGGGTAAGACTTGCATTTGTGGTTATCATCAACAGCACAGTAATAATTTTTTGAGGGGCCAGCCCCGTGGCCAAGTGGTTAAGTTCCCGCACTCCGCTGCGGCGTCCCAGGGTTTGGATCCTGGGCGTGCACATGGCACCGCTCCTCAGGCCACGTTGAGGCGGCATCCCATATGCCACAACTAGAAGGACCTGCAACTAAGATATACAACTATGTACTAGGGGGGATTTGGGGAGATAAAGCAGAAAAAAAAAAAAAGATTGGCCACAGTTGTTAGCTCATGTGCCAATCTTTAAAAAAAAAAATAATAATAATTTTTTGAGAGCGTCATGGGCGACATGATGAATGATGTCATGTCGTGAATAATGATATAACCAGGAGTAAATAAATAGTACAAAGGAACTACAAAGACAAGAATATCTATATTGTTTCAATATAAATAGTTTCCAAAGAGCCATGGCATTGTATTAACAGTGTTACTGTCTTTTCCCCTGGTAGGAGATATGAAATTAGCCAGGATTGCATGTTTAACAATAAAGAACATGAAGAACATGATTTCTGAGCCTGAACAAGAAGACATAGTACCTGGACACTGAAGAATCATCACATGCTGTGATATGTACAATAAACTGATATCTCTTCTCTACCCATTATTCTAAGTCTTCATTGATGAATCATTATACCTCACATAGGCTCGTAAGTTTTGTAATACATTTTTAAAATGAGATTTAATGCACATAACATAAAATTCACCCTTTAAGCTACACAATTTACTGGGTTTTTTTTCACTATATTCACAAGGTTGTACAACCATCACCACTATCTAATTCCAGAACATTTTCATTACCTCAAAAAGAAACCCAGTACCCATTAGCAGTCATTGCCCATTCCCTGCCCTCCCTCCCCAATGCTGGCAACCACTAATGTACTTTCTGTCTCTACGAATTTGCCTATTCTGGACATTTCATGTAATAGAATCATACGATATGTGGCCTTTTGTGTTAACTTCTTTAACTTAGTATAATATATTTAAGGTTCATCCATGTTGTTGCATGTATCAGTTCTTCATTCCTCTTTATGGCTGAGATATATTCTGTAGTATGGATATACCATATTTTGTTTGTCCTTTCATCCATTGACATTTGGGTTGTTTCCATTGTTTGGTTATTATGAATAGCATTGCTGTGAACATTCATGTACAAATTTTTGTGTGGACATATGTTTTCATTTCTCTTGAAGACTTCCGAGTCTAGATCATAAAAAGCCATGCAGCTTCTGACTGTTTCTCTTGGAGAACTTGCTCTTGAACACTCTTTGGAGGCACTCCCTCTTAGAGAACCAGGCCGTCAGCTTACAAGAGTCTAAGCTAGTTAAAGAGGTCATGTGTAGGTGCTCTTGTCAATAGTCCCAACCGAATTCAACTTCTGAGTCATCCTAGCCCAGATGCTACACATGTCCAGATGATTCCAGCCTCCAGGTGATTCTAGCAATTCAAGTCTTCCCATCTGATACCTTCCTGTGCCTTGTCCAAATTCCCGTCTCACAGAATCTATGGGCTTAATAAAATGGTTGTTGTTTTATGCCATCAAGTTCAGGGTGGCATAGATAACTGAAACAGTGTTCTTTCTACAAATCAACAAGAAGACCAAAACAAACATAAAAATGGGCAAAGGGTAGGGGCTGGCCCCGTGGCCGAGTGGTTAAGTTCGCGCGCTCTGCTGCAGGTGGCCCAGTGTTTTGTTGGTTCGAATCCTGGGCGTGGACATGGCACTGCTCATCAAGCCATGCTGAGGCAGCGTCCCACATGCCACAACTAGAAGGACCCACAACAAAGAACATACAACTATGTACCGGGGGGCTTTGGGGAGAAAAAGGAAAAAAAATAAAATCTTAAAAAAAAAAAAAATGGGCAAAGGGTATAAACAGGCAATTCACCAAAGAGAAAACCCAGATGACCAATAATCACATGAAAATATGTTCATTCTCACTAGTAATAAGAAAAATGCAAACTGAAACAATGGTATACCATTTCACACAAGATTGGAAAATCAAAAAGTCTGACAACTCCAAGGGGCTGGCCCCATTGCCAAGTGGTTAAGTTTGTGCGCTCCACTTTGGCGGCCCAGGGTTTCACTGGTTCAAATCCTGGGTGCGGTGCGGACATGGCACTGCTCACCAAGCCATGCTGAGGCGGCATCCCACATACCACAACTAAAAGGACTCACAACTGAAAATATACAACTATGTACCAGGGGGCTTTGGGGAGGAAAAGGAAAAATAAAATCTTTTAAAAAAAAAAAATGGTCTGACAACTCTGGTATTGGTGAGGAAGTAGAGAAACAGGAAACCATATAGTACAGTGTGTCCCAGCACTATATAATATAATTTTCTATATAAATGGAAAATTAGCATAAACATTTTGGCAGAGCAATTTAACAAGATCTAGCAAAGCTGAAATGAACATACCTCATAACTTCTAGGTATATATTTTAATGCATATAAATAAAGATAGAGGGAGCCAGCTGGGTGGCACAGCAGTTAAGTTTGCACGTTCTGCTTCAGCGGCCCAGGGTTCGCCAGTTTGGATCCCAGGTGCGGACCTACACACCACTCGTCAAGGCATGCTGTGGCAGACGTCCCACATACAAAATAGAGGAAGATGGGGCCAGCCCTGTGGTACAGCTGTTAAGTTTGAACGTTCCACTTCAGTGGCCCAGGGTTCACTGGTTCAGATCCCGGCAGTGGACGTGGTGCCGCTTGGCAAGCCCTGCTGTGGTAGGCATCCCACATATAAAGTAGAGGAAGATGGGCATGGATGTTAGCTCAGGGCTAGTCTTCCTCAGCAAAAAGGGGAGGATTGGCAGCAGTTAGCTCAGGGCTAATCTTCCTCAAAAAAAAAAAAAAAAAAAAAGAGGAAGATGGGCATGGATGTTAGCCCAGGGCCAAACTTCCTCAGCAAAAAAAGGAGAATTGGCAGCAGATGTCAGCTCAGGGCTGATCTTCCTCAAAAACTAAAACTTAAAAAAAAGATAAATACCTAAGCCTATTCACTGCAGCATTTTTTGTAATAACAAAAAATTAGAAACATGGTATATTTATACCATGAATTGTCAACCAGGGTGATATCACCCCAAAAGGGGTGAAAATTGGTTCTTGGGGGGGGGGTGCCAAAAATCTCAGATGTAGTATGTGATAATAACCCTCCAAAGCTCAATATTATCCAACAAAAGTCTTATTCCTTAGTATTTAATTTCTCTTGTTGGGGGAAATTAAAATTAAATTTGATTCATTTAATAACTTTAATAAATTTTCTCCTTAGACGAGATAATAAAAGCAAGGTTGAGAAACAGATTTATACAATAAAAAACCATACGGCTGCTACAACAAATGTATTAGATTTATATGCATCAACATGTACACATCTTGAACACAATGTGGATAAAAACAAATTACGTAATGTTACATGCACTATAGTGCAAGTGATATAAATACAAAATAACACCCAGAACAATACTATACATTGTTTATTAATATATACATAGCAAAAGTTTTAAAAAACTTGGACTGTATAAACATTAGATTCATGATAATTGGTGCCTCTGGGGAGGATGGGAAGTGAATCAGATTAGGGAAAGGAAACTTCAACGCATTTATAATGTCCTATTTTTATGAAAAATGATCTGAAACAAAAATTTTGAAATCTTAACATTCACTAATTCTGAGCAATGGGCACTTGGGACATTTATTATTATTCTCTGTGCTTTTCTCACCGCGACCCACCCCCCAAACTCTTCAAGTTGAAACAAAATAAAATTTTAAATATTTCAAAAATTCCTATTTGTTTTAGTTATGTTTTAAGTGTATTGGTTTTGAGTGGGTCTGTGTCGATGAAATCCAAATTAGGAAGACAGAATAGGAGTGGGTGGGGGCCAGCCCGGTGGCGCAGTAGTTAAGTGCACACATTCCACTTCGGGCCCGGGGTTTGCTGGCCCCGATCCCGGGTGCGGACATGGCACCACTTGGCACACCATGCTGTGGTAGGCATCCTACATATAAAGCAGAGGAAGATGGGCATGGATGTTAGCTCAGGGCCGGTGTTCCTTAGCGAAAAGAGGAGGATTGGCAGCAGTTAGCTCAGGGCTAGTCTTCCTCAAAAAAAAGAAATAGGAGTGGGTGAAGCAGGCAGAGTTTGCTTATAAACAAATATTTTTTGCAAACCCTGCCTGCTTCCCCCATTCATATTATCCTCCTGGCCCTGAAAATATTTGAGTTTATCTGGCCTAGAAATTCTCTGCTCTCAGGACTCTGCAGATCTTTCCCCTCTCTCCTCTCCTGTCTCTAGTCCAGGGAAGGGAAACTCTTAGTTTGGTGACTGTCCTTCTCCTTTCGTATCTGGCTGACACTATGCCCATGCCCTTTGCCAAGGAAGCAAAATGCTTGGTAGGAATTATTTGTTCACCGATCCTATCCTGCTTGCCATATTTTCCCCCGAGGCAAGAAACATAAAGCCAACTAACTAACTGCTTGATGGGGGAAAACAGAAAGAAAGGGGAAAAACAAAGAGGAATGTCCCAGAATGTGATGAAGGCACCCAATCATGGCTGCCACGTTTGGAGTGCCTACCATGTGAGAGGCACTGTACTCGGATCCTTTGACAATGTTGTGAAATGTAAACTCACAAGATTCCTAAATTGAACTATGTCTTTTCCCGCCTTGCTTCTTTGTTTGTCCGCATTACTGTCTACCCTTAGGTTCCTATTCTACCTGCTGATGCCAAGCTAGATTATATATAAGTCACCTTCCAGGTGAGCCTGGAACTTGGTTTTCAGACAGCTTAGAAATATTCTTAGGAAATGGCTCAAGGAGACTGTTCCTACATAAGACAGAGGGCCAGGGAAATAGCTATCATCCAGTCCACTCTGGAAATCCTCAGTGTATATACGTCCAACCTAAAGTTAGGGAACCACATATAGGGTGACCAATCATCCATTTACCTGAGTCTGAGGGATTTCCCAGGATGTAGGACTTTCAGTGCTAAAATCAGGGCAGGCAAGCCAGGATATGTCCCAGCCATAAACCTGGGACAGAGTGGAGGTCGTAGGGGGAAGACCTAGGCAGGGAAGATGGCAGAAGAGAAAGGTAAGTGATCTCCTCCTACAGAAATGAATTTGCAGGCCGGCCCCTTGGCTGCATGGTTAAGTTTGCGTGCTCTGCTGTGGCAGTCCAGGGTTTCGCTGGTTCAAATCCTGGGCGCAGACATGGCACCGTTCATCAAGCCATGCTGAGGCGGCATCCCACATTCCACAACTAGAAGGACCCACAACTAAAAATACACAACTATGCACGGGGGGCCTTTGGGGAGAAAAAGGAAAAAGTAAAATCTTAAAAAAAAAAAAGAAAGAAATTTGAAGGAAAATTCTGTTGGGTTTCCAATTATTTCAAAGAGTGTAGATGCAACTAATGGCCAAGAAGGAAAACTAAAAGACCTTAGGAAGATCTCTTAAACTTTGTAAATTCTTCATATTTGTAATGTGTTATCATTTATTTCTCATTAGTGAGCAGAAGTAAAACCCTTGTGAGTATAGATTGTTTTAATTTTCTTCTTTCTACTTTTCTTTCTATAATAATACTAGCTAACATGTATTATGTAC